TTATGCTGTAAAGAAATACTATGCTTAAAAAATAAAAAAAAATAAAAAATGAAAAAAAAGTGAATGAAAAAGAAAGACTCAAGGCGAAAACCTTAAAAGGGCGGTTTGAGTCATAAGAGAGTTTATCTAAGTTGAAAACCTGAAAAGATAGCTTAGATAAGGAGAATACAGCATCGAATTTGAAAGTCGCTGACATGGAGACTAGCAAATTCAGAAGAGTTTCAAATTGTTAAATACATCAGAGGGTTGGATTTTCAGAAAAACCTTGAGATATGTTATCATGATTATCTGATTGTTCATTTTTGGGCTTTGTTCCCATGCTTATCCTTGTAATTCTTTCTTGGTAAAAGTTTGCCAACATTTTTGCTAATAAAAGACATTCTATTTCACTCTTTGTGTCTTTTGCTGGTGACTGTTTCTCAACCATTTTTTTTCTTCTTAATACCCTACAATGGAAAAAATGTGCAAATGCATTCTTACTTTTTGAGTTTGAAATAATGATTGATGAATGAATAATGGCATGAAAGATTTTTACATTACATTGAATAAGTCAAGAGTGATAAAGGCGGGATTGAGATGTTCAGTTCCTGATAAAGACATTGAATTTGGAAAGAGATTGCTTACAAGAAGAATGTGAGTGGAAGAGATGATTGAGAGCTACATTGGCTCGATCTTAGAAGAGTAATGTAATTGGATCTTTGAAGAATCAAAGGGCTTAATGCCTAAGAAAAGAGCTTGAGAAACTTGAGTACCACAATTCAATAGAAGTTAATTAGCTAACATTTGCATAACATGCATTGGATTTCATAGACATTGCATAACATGTACCACATAAATTCAAGAAGCAGGAGTATTCCAAAATCCCACATAGAGAAGACAGATGTGAAGACATTTTCAAATTTGAGAAGAAACTTGTCAGGTAAGTTCCTAATCTTTGAAATAGATGTCTCTTGGTATCAAAGTTGATTTATAAGACCTTTAGGCATAATCTCCTGAAATTCCTTCAAATACGTTTTTCAACTCCTTTGGACATGATTGTCAAGGAGCCATTTTATTTTTCTAAAGTCGTTGAGCCTCTGATTAGAGGAGCCATTTTATTTTTTAAAGTCGTTGAGCCTCTGATTAGAGAGCCATTTATTTTTCTAAAGTCATTGAGCCTCTGATTAGAGGAGCCATTTATTTTCTAAAGTCGTTAAGCCTTTGATTAGAGGAGCCATTTATTTTTTCTAAAAGTCGTTGAGCCCTGATTAGAAGAGCCATTTATGTTTTTCAAAGTCGTTGAGCCTCTGCTTAGAGGAGCTTTGATCAAATAAAAAAATAAAAAAAAATAAAAAATAAAAAAAATTACCTCTGTTTAGAGGAGCTTTGTTTATTTTTCAAAGTCGTTGAGCCTCTGAGTAGAAGAGCTTTATTTATTTTTCAAACTCGTTGAGCATCTGATTAGAGGAGTTTTGATCAAATCTTAAACAAAAAAAAAACATAAAAAAATAAAAAAAAAATGTCGACTTGAGTCTTGATTGGGTGTCTACGTTTTTGCACAATTTCTGTTTCACAAAAATATGCAAAGAGAGACAACTATAGACACCTAATTTGATATAGGCCCAAATCAATTGGGCCTGATCCAAATGGGTAAGCCCATTTTTATTTTTTTTTGTATTTTTCATTTTTATTTTATTTTTATTTTATTTACATTTTTATTATTGTTATTAATTTTTTATATATATTTTTCTTTTATTTTTATCTTATGTATTTATTATTTATTACTACTATTTATTAATATATATATCCTTATTATTTTTTTTGTTAATATTTATATATATTTATATGATTATATGTTATAATTTATCTATTATTTAATTTTAATTTATCTCTATTTTTTTGGTTTATTTGATTTATTTTCATTAATATTTTTATTTGATTTTTTATTTTTCTGATTTATTCAACTGAAGATTGGATTGGGATTCAATCATAGTCCATATTAGATTCAATGATTGAATCCCGATCCAAAGAGGAGTTAGGATTGATCAAAAACTCTTCTGATCAATCCTTATAAAAGGACCTTCAGGATAAAAAAAAAAAACACAGAAGACAGAGAGAAAGAGTTACTGGCTGAGAGGAAAAGGTAGACAGAAGAGATTTGAAAGCTGAAAAAGGGTTTAGAAGAGTTAGAATAGCTTTAGGAATTGGTGGAAAATTTTTGAAGATTTTTCTGTGAATTTTTTCTGGAAATTTTTGAAAAATTCACAGATTCTGGTTGAATTGTTTGACGAAGGTTGAATTTTTCGACGATAATTCCAGTCAAGTTTGAAGTTTCTGGCCAACTTCCCAATTTTCGACAATAATTTCCAAAAATCGATCAGTTTTTCGACGAACTTCCGATGAAAAACCCATATTTCGATTAATTTTCCAGAATTCGACGGTCATTCAACCAGAGTTCTTCGGGTTTCTAGAAAGAAGTGAGAGAAGAAAGAAGGGAAGAGAGAGAAAAGAAAAAGGGTTCTGCTGAAAAAATGAAAGAATCAACCTTATATACCCTTCCAAAACGGCGTCGTTTCTGCGTTAAATAACCTAGAGGATCCACACGTTTTGTCGAGATCCGACCCGACCCGAGCATCGACCCGCTTTCGACCCGCGGTGACCCTTCTTTTCGAGCCGTTAACTAAGTCGAGCCGACACCCCGAGCCGCGTCTCCGAGCCATTTTTCTTCCTTGAGCCGAACTGAGCCGAACCGTAAGCCGAGCCATTCCTAGGTTTTTTTTCATTTCTTTTTATTATTTTTATTTTTATTTATTATTATATTAGGATTGTTTATTTTTTTTTCTTTTTATTTATTTTTATTCTTTTATTTATTTTTATTTTTATTTATTTTATTTTCTTTAAATAAAATTTAAAAAAACAAAAAATATTTTTGAGGAAAAGTTGAAAGTATTAATTTTTCTTAAGAATAAATTTTAAAAAAAGATTTTTTTTGAGAAAAAGTTGAAAGTATCAATTTTTCTCGAAATTAAAGTTTCTAAAAAATATTTTTGAGGAAAAGTTGAAAGTATCAATTTTCTCTACACAAAAGCAGTCATTTTTTCTTTCTTTTTATTTTCTTTTTAAATAATCCGACAATGGAGCCTTTGCAAGTGAAATAATAGTTTTCTTGCATACTCTTGAAGTGAGAAAATTTTTTCAATTTTCTGCTAAAAGTATTAGAGTCAATTGAGAATAATTTTCAATAACTAATTACTTGGTAAATTTTTAAGGCTTATTGGATAATACAAAATTAAGTCGGTACCATCTTTTGATAGGTTCATTTGGGTGCTATAATCTTCTTCACACGTAACCGAACTCCTGAACTTTATTCTGGTTAATAAACCTGAACTTTCTCTCATAGGGACCCTTAAACTTAGGTGTTCCCTGAAAGAATAAATTTTATAAGTAACTAATTACATCTAGATAAAAAAAATTGATGATAATTTTTTAAATCAATATTTAACGATAAATTCTCGGATCGTTACGAGAAACCCATAAACACTAAACCTGATCTTAATTTCCATAAAACCAGCAAACATCTTTCTAGAAAAGAAAGGGAAGAAAGGCCAAAAGAAAGGCTATGCATGTGGTATGGGTCCAAGTTTGAGATAGGTCATCATTGCATACGGTCTCAACTATATCAATTACTAGTGGATGACGTGGGGGAAGGAACTACTGAAGAAAAGGAATTTTCAAATTGTTTGGAGTCCCTAAAGGAATTTCAAGTTGATACAGTTGAGAACTTGAGTAGGCCTATAATATCCTTACATGTTTTGATTAGTATAGTTAGGGCCCAAACTATGCGAATTCAGGGAAAATCAAAAATCAAAATTTAGTGATTCTGGTAGACTCTAGTAGCACTCCTAATTTTTTGGACCAATCTATTACCAAACATTTGGGCTGTAAATCGACAGCAGTGGAAGGTATTTGGATCACAGTGGCAAATGGTGAGCTATTGGTGACAAACACAAGGTCTGCAGTAGCATACAATAAATTTTTTGCTATTACTATTGATAGGATGTAACATGGTGTTGGGCGTACAATGGTTACAGACATTGGAACCTATTCTTTGAGATTTCAACAACCTAGCCATGCAATTTGAATTGGCAACCAACTGGTATATTTTGCAGTTGATAGTCAAAGGCAAGGTACAATTAGCCTCGAGGAAGCAAATGGCTAAACTGAAGTTGCTCAATAGCAATACATGTTTGATGATGTTAACGGAAGTGCAACCTTCTAACATGGTGCCAATCTGTAAAAAAGAATATAGAGCTACCAACAGAGCTATAAAATCTATTGGCCAAATTTGGTACGATCTTTAAACCATCAAAAGGTCTACCACCTAAAAGAACTCACGACCATCGAATTTCCTTAAAAGATTAATCTTAGTTTATTCAACTCAAGTGTTTAAGATGTTATTATGTCACCAATGAAGTTATCTAAATACGAGTTTGTTGTCACTGATAATGGCCATTGTTGTCTATTGAAATGAAATGAAGAAGGCAATTGGTAGTATGTTCAACAATGCACCATCTACAAACAATTTAAGTCTGACACCACGTAATCTTTGGTCTCTTACAGCCCTTGTCAATACCAATTAGAATCTGGACAGATATCTCAATGGATTTCATTGATGGCTTGCCAAAATCTCTTAGCAAAGAAGTCATTATAGTAGCTGTTGATCGGTTAAGCAAATATGCACATTTTGTAACTCTCACTCATCCCTACTCAGCTTTTACAGTTGCTCAAGTCTTCTTGGACAACACTTACAAGCTGCATGGTGTTCCAAATAATATTGTGTCTAATAAGGACAAGGTGTTTACTAGCTTAGTTTGGAGGGAGTTATTTAAATTGCTTGGTACTGAACTTAAAATTCCGAATACATATCATCTTTAAACTGATGGCCAGTCCGAGGTAGTTAATAGGTGCTTAAAAACTTATCTTAAGTGCATGACTGGGGAGCGGCCTAAGGATTGGTCTAAATGGATCCTTTAGCAAAATGGTGGTATAACACCAACCACCACTTTTCTATACAAACAACACCATATGAGATTGTTTATGGCCAACCAGCACCTAGTCATATACCGTATCTTCTTAATGATTCTAAAGTTGAAGAAGTTGATGAAAGTCTGAAAGCCAGAGAAGCTACCATTCAGCTTATGAAATTCCATCTTAACAAGGCACGGAAAAGGATGAAGCAGCAAGTAGATAAGCGCAGGTCTGACAAACAATTTGAGGAAGGAGACTATGCATATGTCAAACTCCAACCTTATAGACAAATATCTATTTTTAACAGATCTTATCTTAAGCTAGCAGCTAAATTCTTTAGCCCTTATAAAATTCTGGCAATGGTGGGTGCAGCAACATATAAGTTGGAATTACCTACGACTACTCGAATTCATCCGGTCTTTCATGTGTCCCAACTCAAGAAGCATGTTGGACGAAAGCCTACTCAATTTCATCTTCCTTTGTTGGATGGAGATAGAACCTTAGCACAAGAGCCTGTGGCTATTCTAGACATGCGTATGAATAAGAGAAGAGGTAGGTTGGTCATTGAAGTGCTGGAGCAATGGAGCAATTGCTTTCCTGAAGATGCCATATAGGAAGTCTTCATGATCTACAAAAGCAATATCCTTCTTTTGATCCTCAAGGACAATGTTCTTTTCATAGAAGGGTATATGTTACAGGCTATTAAAGTATTAGGCTAATTGGGTCATTTATTCAAGTCTAGTCTAAAAAATTATATTAAAAATTACTTTTCCATAGTGATAAAATTTTTTCATCCTTTAGGTTGGGAATCATATCATCTTTAAAGGTAATGATTTTATCACTCTAATGATTTAAGATCATTACCACGCATAAATTGCTACTACAGAGGATATAATTACTAAAAGTAAATCATCGTGATTTTTAGATAAATCATCTCATACCAAACGCTCCTTAAAAGTAATGTTTGATATTTTTTTCCTTATTTTTAATGTTTCAATTTTTTATATAAATTTACATGCATGTGTATCATTTAAATTTTGAATTTAGAAAATAACCTTTGAGTAATATATTTCGTGTCATTTAAATTTATATTACTCAATATCTATTATTGAGTATTATAAATAATTATGAATCAAATTCAAATTGCATAAATCCAACTATCTATAAACTTTATCATTTAGGATTTTATGTTATTCATGAGTTCAATTAGCTGTGAATGAATTTATTTAATATTTAATGTAATTAAAATTTAACATATTTATTTAATAGTTTAAATATTTATAAATCAAATCAAGATTGTTATATTTCAGTTCGATTAATTATTTTTATATTTCATTACGAAGTAAAAGTATAAATTGTTAGTTTTGAATCATTAAAAATTAATTTTTTATTTTAATTTATGTATCAATGGAGTTTAATTGAAATTTTGTTAATTTGTTGACATTAAATATTTTTTTAATATATTTACTTTTGTTTGTAGAGTTTTTTTATTGATATGTATCTATTTTAAAAAAATTTTATTAATCTAGTATTTGGTATCATTTTTAAGATTATTGTAATGATTTAATTATAAGAGTAATAAGATCATAAGGTAATTTGATTATCGATGATCTTATATTACTATATTTGACATAATATTATAAATTACTAGCATTCTTAAGTCATTGTATTTGGTATTATATACAATAATAATAACAATAACAACACACTAAATTTTATATCCCATATTCAGAGGTTGACGTATTTGGTATTAATGAAAATTATTTAATAATTTCTTTTAGAAATTTTTTTCATCAAAATTGATTTATATTTTACAATTTTCTATAAAATAATATTTAATTATTTTATAAATTATTGGTTCAATAAATATTAAATTTTTTATTTTCTTTTTGTAAGGTCATTTTGAATATTTTATATATATTTTAATAATTTATTAGAATATAAAATATTCAAAATGACCTTACAAAAATAAAGTAAAAAATTTAATACTTATTGAATTTATAATTTATAAAATAATATTTGTTATTAGAATATAAAATATTCAAAATAACTTTACAAAAAGAAAATAAAAAAATTAATACTTATTGAATCAATAATTTATAAAATAATTAAATATTATTTTATAAAAAAGTGTAAAATATAAATCAATTTTGATTAAAAATAATTTTTAAAAAAATTATTAAATAATTTCATTATTTTTATAATCAATAAATATTTATTCAATTGTAATAGAAAACTTTTTTTAAAAATAAGCTATAAAAAATAAAATTTTGAAAACTTATACTATTTAGCTTTCTAAGGTAATATTAAGTACATCTTTCACCAAAGTAAATTAGTCAAAAAAAAATTATATTAAAAATTACTTTTTAATGGTGATAAAATTTTTTCTATCTTTTAGGTTATGAATCATATCATCTTTCAAGATAATGATCTTATCACCATAATAATTTAAGATCACTACTACATAAAATTTTTAAATTGCTACCAAACAAAGTGATGTTTTTACTGAATGCAAATCATCGTGATTTTTAAACATTTACCTCATACCAAATACTCCTTAAAAGTAATGTTTGATATTTCTTTTTTATATTTTTAATGTTTCAATTTTTTATATAAATTCACTTGCATGATATGTATGTTTAGACTATTATAAATTAATATTTTTATTTCTTATTTTAAGTTATGTAAATCCAATTATTAATGAAATTAATGTTCATTAATTTATAGCATTCATGAACTCAATTAATTATGAATTAATGTATTTTGTATCATTTAAATTTTGAATTTAGAAAATAACCATTGAGTAATGTATTTCGTGTCATTTAAATTTATATTACTCAATATCTATTGTTGAGTAATATAAATAATTATGAATCAAACTTAAATTGCATAAATCTAAATACTCATAAACTTTATCATTTATGAATTTATGTTATCCATGAGTCCAATTAACTGTGAATGAATTTATTTAATATTTAATTTAATTAAAATTTAACATATTTATTTAATAGTATAATATTCATAAATCAAATCAAGATTGTTATATTTCAATTCGATTAATTATTTTCATGTTTCATTACGAAGTAAAAGTATAAATTATTAGTTTTGAATCATTAAAAATTAATTTTTATTTTAATTTATGTATCAATGGAGTTTAATTGAAATTTTGTTAATTTGTTGACATTTTTTTAAAATATTTACTATTTATTCATATTTACATTATAGAGGTCTATTAAATTTTCATGCAATGCATCCCTCAAAAAACTCTGGATCCATTGTTTTATTAGTTTTGCATTTCAGTTCTACTTTATTTATTCAATTTCATGTATTTCATTTTAAGAAATTCTATCTTATAAGTTTTGGCTTCTTAATTAACATTATTATTGAAATTAATCACATCTTTACATAAACACCACTAATTTATAATATGCATCAGTTTACAAAGATCTCATTTCTGTTTAATTAAGAAACTGAGAATTAAATATAATATATATATGTGCTCTTATCAATATGTATACGTATGTGCTATAGTATCCAAGCATTTTGAGTTAAAACTTTGTTCATACTTCATCAGGATATGAATATGTACGGATAACTTTTTCATTAATTTTTTAAAAAAAATTATAAATTTTGAGATTTGAATATTAAAAGTATTAGATACTATTTTTTAAGTGTGTTATCATTAACCAACATTTCTCTATTAATTTTGTTGAATTATACTCAAAGTGCGATTTCAAACTTTTATTGTCTAAGAAATTATTAATTCAAACGTGAAAATACACGTGACAATTTAAAATATGATATCATGATATAATATAAATTTAATATAAAATAATATAAAAGTAATATATTTAAAATTTTAATAATAATTATATATAAATTTAATAAAATAAAAAAATATATTTTATATTTTCATATCAATATCAATTATCACAGTAATTTTCACATAAAATATTATATAAATATTTTAATATTTTTTACGGTACAATTAAACAAATTACCAATTTACGTGAAAGAAGAGTACGCACTCAATAGGTTATCCAAACAGTACACTATTTTACGAGAACGTAATATAAGATTCAAAATTCGACTCTTTCATGAAAGTTGAAAAGGGAAAAAAACAAAAAAGAAAAGGCAAACAACCACAGTGCACTGTTGTTTTCAATTACTGTAAAGTGTAAAACCGCGACAGAGAGGCATTGAAGCTGCATTATTATTGTGCATGGAGGGACCATAAGGGGATATGGCAGAGAGAAAGAAAAAGGGCAAAACAAAAACATTATCATTTTCTTTGTCAGAGTAACATTATTATCTATTTCATCTTTTGCAGTTGAACCTACATGTTCCTTTTAACACCACAATTTTATTTTTATAAAAACCTCTTTTCTATCATAAAAGCCGTGTCTCATATTTCTTCTTTTGCAGTTGGCTAAAACTTTGTGGATAGATCTCAAGGCATTAGGCTATAATTATATTTCAGAATGGGATGTGTTATGTGGTGTGGAATTTGGATTGTCCTAATACCAGTTACTTTGCTGACTTACGTAAACCGCTATCTCTGATCAATGTCCTCATTTTCTCACAGTTTGGTATGATCTTCCTCAAACCTGTTGTCCCTTATTCATAGCCGGATCCATACTTAGAATTGGAAATTTTTCTCTAAATATTCTTTCCGTCAATAAAATCGATAAAATTTTTTGCAGTTGTTATGTATATTATATGTGATTTCTTTAGTTTACAGTCTAAGCGTAGTTTTATATAAATTCTATCATGACTTAAAAAATTAAAGAATTTATCTACTGGAATTTTATATACCAAAGAAGAAACTTTAGTTGACACAAAACTTGATAATTAAAAACATAATACGATGACATGATACGAATATTATATAAAAATAAAATATGAAAATGACATAATTTAAAACTATAACAATAATTATGTATAGATTTAACAAAATAAAAAAATTATATTTTATATTTTCATATTGATATAAATTATAACACATAATTTTTATAAAAAATATAATATAAATATATAAATTTTAATATTTTACACGATATAAATACATAAATGATCAAATTTATGCAATTCATCTTTTCCTCATCTACGTATTCTTCATGAATAAAATAATTAGCATCCATTTAATTTAAGAAAAAAATATACTTCAATTTAAGCAAAACTACCTTTTATTATCATCAACCGTATAATTTATTAATAAAATATTAATTTTTTAATTTTAATAATTAAAGATCAAAATTTAAAGACATTAAAGACAAAAAAAAGAAAAAAACCTTTATCCACGTGCAAAAGGTACTGGCTTGAAACATTAATCAGACTATTGCATAATGCAATACTATCACATTATGCAATATATACTAATAAAATCTAAAATTTAATTTAGGTAATTCATACAATTATTTTTAAAAAATAATATTTATTATATTTAAAATTTAAAATTTAATATTAATAATCTTTTTTCTTAATTATCATACTACAATCTCCTTTATAAAAAATATATATTATAAAAAAATGACATCACATTAAATGGAAGATAAGTGTAATTATTTTCGTCAAAATGGTCTCACAAGAAATTTAATTATTCTTCATTGATGGG